AAATGGTAGCCGTGTGGGCATCATCAGCAGTGGGAAACATATAGTATGTTTGATAATAACTTTCACTTAGCATTTCAAGTCTTAGCTGAAGGATCACGATATGTTTCAGGTAGAATAAAGAAATCCTAGGAATCCATTTTCCTAAGTATACTTATGCTGAAGGAAGAACCCGGAAAGAGTGAATGACTGGTTCAGGGTAAACCAGCTGGGAAGTGGCAGAATCAAATTGGATGCAGGTCCCCCGGTCTCGGATCACCGTGCATCCTGTGTGTCCCCCTGAAGCAAAAAGGACTGCAGCTGAAACCGAGCTTTCCAGTATTGACTTGAGCTAGGAGGAGAGCGCGCTGGAGGTGTGAGACCGGCAAGAGGACTTGCTGTCTCCAGGTCTAGCCACCTGCTGTGCTGTGTTCTTCATAAGGAACTGCCGGGAGGGGCCTATTCACTTTTTGTGGTGGGCGGTGTGGCATGGGGTCTGCTGGCTCACGGGCCCCTGGCAGGAAGATGCACCCAAGGCCAAGCCACCGGATCCTTAACTTTCCCTAAGAAGGGAGCTTTTAATTTTTTATTTCCAATTTTATCCCTATTTTTAATTTTTCTTTTTTTTTCATTTGTAAGAGTGTGGTAACATCTTCACGGGCTTCCTAATGAATTTTGTGGCTCTTACCCCTTTTTATAGAGTCATCTTCATCTGTGCCCTTAGCCCCACACTAGTAAGTCCAACTTTAAAATACTTAATAATGGTAATTCAGAATGTATGAGTTTGATCTTCATTATAAGCTGTTAAAACATTTTAAAAACTCAGATATGGCATGAAGAATTTATTTTTTTAAAAGATTTTATTTATTTGTCAGAGAGAGAGCACAAGCAAGGGGGGAGGGGCAGCGGGAGAGGGAGAAGCAGGCTTCCCGCTGAGCGAGGAGCCCGACGCGGGGCTCGATCCCAGGACCCCGGGATCGTGACCTGAGCCGAAGGCAGACGCTTAACCGACTGAGCCACCCAGCTGTCCCTGGCATGAAGAATTTAAAGTAACGATTAAGCACTACCCAGACGACCACATGTCTGCCCGACCCTCTTAACCAACATTAATTGGTCTTTTTTTTTGTGCCCCTATAATCTTTTGCACTCACTAGTTGTAGTGTTTTCTTCGAATTGTTTTCATAACTGCCCTGTAACTGCATATATGTATTCCACAGGATATTTCTTTGTACGTCCGTGTAAGCTGGGGAGCTGTTGGTGCCCTGAGAACAGACAGTTTGAGACACAGTCTCCTTCTTTGTAGTCAGGAGCTGATTTTTGCTCACAGGCTGCAGTGCAAAGCCCAGGGGAGCACGGGGAGCCTCTTTGTGCCCCAGATGGTGTGGGGGTTCAGGGCACATGCTCTGGAATCCTGTTTCTAACTGCATGAGACATACTACGTCAACTCTCTAAGCCTGGGTTGCTCCACCTGTAGATTATGCCTAATGATTACATGTCTCTTTTAAGGATTAATGGAAATAATGTATGTCAAATAGCATAGTGCCTGGCCCATTTTACATGTTAGCCATTGTTACTCTGATCTCTTTGTTTATGGTGGTGATGTCTTACAGTGCTTTCTGAACATACCCAGATTAAAACGTCTCATGAGGACATATCCTGTGGGCCTGCCTAGGACCCACTGTAAATGAGGATATGTGGAAAAATCTCAGGACTGTCAAGCTTGAAGGTGAAGGTTAAGGGCTGCAGTAGCGTGAGAACGTGTCAGATTAGGAGAGATGGACTTGGGGGGGGGGGTCTTAGCTGTGTCCCTCCTTCCTGCTATGTCCGTGTACCTGGAAGTGCAGAAAGGAGCCTAGAGGAACTTTGGGTCAGGTGTTGGAGCCTGTGGACAGCATGTGTTTCATGTCCTCCCACGGGAGAAAAGGGTGTCCTGGCGAGGTGCTGAGAAGGAGGACCCTTCCCCAGATGAAAGCGACCTGGAGCAGGGGGAGAGGGGGCTGGGCAGGAGAGCCCAGCAGCCACAGGTCCCAGGCCAGGGGGCAGAGGTCGGTGTGCAGGGCACTGGGAGTCAGTGCAGGGGACGGGGGCGCTTTCTTCCGGGGTGGGGGGGAGACTGAGCCAGCAAACGGGAATTCTGATGCCAGAACTCTGGTGCTGTCAGCTGTGGGGCTCCTAGCGCTTGAGTGCATTGCAGAGCGATAGATTAGGGAACAGAAAAACAGTACATTTAAGCGCATTCATTCATGTTTTCAGTCTTAATGAATTTCCAAATAAGCAGGAAATATGTCAAATAATAAAGAAAAGAAGAAAAAAATTTCCGCTTTACCCTAACAACACAAAATTATTCCCGATTTTGTATATTGCCTTGTAGTCTGTGTTCTGCTTGTAAAATTTAGTGCTTTCATAACATTTTTGGTATTTATAATTGCTCTTTATCATGATTTTTAAAAAGATTTTGAGAGAGAGAGAGCATGTGTGCAGGTGTGTGTGCGCACACGAGGGTGTGGGGAGAGGGGCAGAGGGAGAAGGAGAAGCAGACTCCCCAGTGAGTGTGGCGCCAGATGCGGGGCTGGATCCCATGACGCCGAGATCATGACCTGAGCTGAAACCAAGAGTCAGACATTTAACTGACTGAGCCACCCAGATGCCCCGTGTTTTTCATGATTTTTAGAACTATATAATGTTCCGTAATTTTTGTGTTGTTCATTTATTCTCTGGGACAGGTTTTAAGAAATCCAGTTCTTTCTTTCTTTTTTTTTATTCTTATGTTAATCCCCATACATTACATCATTAGTTTTAGATGTAGTGTTCCATGATTCATTGTTTGTGCATAACACCCAGTGCTCCATGCAGAACGTGCCCTTCTCAATACCCACCACCAGGCTAACCCATCCTCCCACCCCCCTCCCCTCTAGAACCCTCAGTTTGTTTTTCATAGTCCATCGTCTCTCATGGTTCGTCTACCCCTCCGATTTCCCCCGCTTCATTCTTCCCCTACTGCTACCTTCTTCTTCTTCTTTTTTTTTTCTTAACATATATTGCATTATTTGTTTCAGAGGTACAGATCTGAGATTCAACAGTCTTGCACAATTCACAGCGCTTACCAGAGCACATACCCTCCCCAGTGTCTATCACCCAGTCACCCCATCCCTCCCACCACACCCCCCACTCCAGCAACCCTCAGTTTGTTTCCTGAGATTAAGAATTCCTCATATCAGTGAGATCATATGATACATGTCTTTCTCTGTTTGACTTAAGAAATCCAGTTATTTCAATTGGAACATTTATATAGTTCCTATTTACATATTGTGATACATCTTTTTTTTTTAAAGATTTTATTTATTTGACAGAGAGACACAGCGAGAGAGGGAACACAAGCAGGGGGAACGGGAGAGGGAGAAGCAGGCTTCCCACGGAGCAGGGACCCCGATGTGGGTCTCAATCCCAGGACCCTGGGATCATGACCTGAGCCAAAGGCAGATGCTTAACCGACTGAGCCACCCAGGCGTCCCCTGAAAGCAGTTTTAAAAATAAAAATAGCAGGAATGGTTTTTTATCTCTTCCCCCAGAGGAGAGGGGGAAGGCATGAGTGTGCCGGCTTCACCGTGGTTTTCCAGGCATGCCTGCATTTGGTTTCTTGTGATCCTTCATCTTCAACGTGCACGTGGGAAACTGAGGCGCAGGGTCACACAGGCTTGTGGTGTTAGTGTGGGATTTGAATCCAGAGCTGCCCCTCATGGGGACTGGAGGTTATTTTTCCATCAAAACCGGGCATAGGAGGAAGCAGTAAAGACTAGAACAAGGCTCTCTGAACCAAGTGCTGAGTGTTGAGGCTTTTGGGTGTCATGGAAACATTTTGTAAAACAGCATTTAATGTTCTGATTGCAAAATAATGCATATTAATCACACACAAAATGTGAAAAATACAAGAAACCACAAAGAAGTAAAGGAAAACCTGCCACGATCCCACCGTCCGCGGATAACCATGTACCTCCTGGCTCTTTCCTGGTTTGGGCGTGCTTGCTTTTTACACAGACACCGCACACAGCCCTCACACAGCTCTGTTCGTTCTTTTCCCCTTAAATATATGTTATGGACCCTCTTCCCTGGCACTAAATAGTCCTTTATAGCATATTGAATGGCTCTGTAGTATTACGTTACAGTCAAATACTACAATTTATTTGAACAATTCCCTATTGCCAGACATTAAGCTGACTTCTGATTACTCATTGTGATAATCAATGCCACAGTGAACATGCCAGGATATAGATCTTCATGAAGATCCATGAATATTTTCTTAGTATAAATTTATTTTTAAAATAAATGTTTTATTTTTCTCATTGACTTGGGTGCTGATAAAAGTGTGAATGTGAAAATCATTTTATTCCCGTAAAAAATTGTCCAGAAAAGCATGGCAGGAGCATATTTAATTTTTCGTGGCTAAAATATAATACTATTACATTTGTATATTGTGCAGTTGTAAGCACTGGCAGCTGTCGGACTCCTTTCTGGAAAGATGTTTAAGATGTGTTCGTGTGGAATGCTTTCTTACCCCTTCCCACCTCTGTCACTGCTGGTGCACGAGCTGAGTTATGCCCCGTCTGGCGTGAGCACTGTGCGGGTGGCCCTGGTTCTGGCTGGGCAGGGGCTCCGTGTGTTGCACGGCCACAGGCCGCTCGCCGAGGCGCTAGGCTCATTTGCACAACCCTTGACAGCCCTAGCCCTAAGGCCAGCCATGGCCTGCTGGGGCCACCTGAGGACAGAGCTTTGGCTGTCCTGTTTCTTTAGCACTGGATATAATGGGGGCAGTAAGCTTGCAAACTTAAAAATACTCTGTGGGGATTTCAGACCTGTCTTTTGAGAAGAACACAGGGAGGTGAACTCACAGAAGTGTACGCTGTTAGTGTGGTAATAATAACAATTAAAGATGTTAAAGGTGCTTTTGGTTATTGTTTGTGATCACTGAGTTTAATTAAGGTACACGGGAAGTGAAGTCCTGATGTGCTCTTTTTTTGTATTTATAGATCCACATCATAGATTTTGATGACGAAAATAACATTCTAAATAAAAATGTCCTCCTCCATCAAGTGGGTGAGATCTGGCACATTAGTACCAGCCCTGCCGACAGAGGTGTGCTGGCCACGTGCTACAATAAACGTGAGTATTTGCAGGTGTTGATACGCACCTGCAAGATTGGTCTTACGTTGTTAATGGACCAGTGCCTGACTTACAGGGGTGATGATGGGAACAGGGGCTGCACAGAGAAGTTGTGATGCTGTAGGCAGACGCTTGTCACAGTTAATATGAGCCACAGTCTGAGACCGGAGGCTGGAGTCACAGTTGTTCCAGGCACGTCGACCCCCTGGGGCAGGAGAGTGATGTGCTGGAGGCTCTCAAATGACAGATGCAGGGGTCCTCCTACATTAGTTCACTGTGCTCCTTGCGAGGGTAGCTGATTTGTGTATATGTGTGCATGCGTGTGTGCGTGTGTGCAAGCATGTGTGTGCATGTGTATGTGTGTGGGGGGGTCCGTGCTCCTAATAAGCCTCTGCCCCATGTGCTCTTTGGCTCTGAAGTCTCTGGGGCCTTTGACGTTTGTGTCAGCCCAGACGTCTGGCGCCCAGCTGGCCATGCATCTTCCTCCATTCTCCTTTCTCTGTCATTGTCCGTAAATTGTATTCAAATTCTGGCTTTGGGGAAAACCCCAGGTTCCATCTTTCTCTGCAAGCAGAATAAAGTCTGTTTTGTGCTGTGTAGTCTCTAAAGTGTTTCCTTCAGTATCAGCCTTCCCGGTTGGCTAATGGGCCTTCTGCAGCATCTGCACACGGGTCCCACATTCAGTGTACTCTCCCTTCCTGGCCCAGCCTCAGGATGCTAGTGTGTGTGGCTGTCTTCTGCTGTTGCCTCCCCGGGCGCACCGCGTCTAGGAACCCCTGCTGGGATGCTCTGCTCCCCGGGGAGTGTCTTTCTATTTAATTTCACATCTACCTTTGGGGTTTTTTTTTTTTAAGATTTTATTTATTTATTTGAGAGAGAGAGCGAACGAGGGGGGGGAGGGGCAGAGGCAGAGGGAGAAGCAGACGCCTTGCTGAGCAGGGAGCCTGATGCGGGACTCGATCCCGGGACCCTGAGATCATGACCTGATCTGATGAAAGGCAGATGCTTTACCAGCTGAGCCTCCCAGGCGCCCCTACCTTTGCATTTTTAGCACTTCATTTCTTTGGGGCAGCAGAGTTGTTTTCTGAAGGTTCTTTTGCCCCTGATTCCCTTATGTTCTGTATCTCCTATTCGTCGCTTTGACTGGCACTATGGCCCTCACCGAGAACAGCCTCCCCGGGAGCCCGTTTGGGCTTTCCCTCCTCCCCTGTCGGCAGCGTGTTGGGGGGCTTCTCGGGCAGAGGCCGCTGTGTCTTCCTTGTGCCTGTGTCTCGGACCAAGGTCATTACGTCCAGCCGATTGTGACAGAGGCGGCCCTGCCCTCTGAAATCTTCCCGGAGTGTATTTGGGATGTAACAGCCTTGACCCTTACGCACCCGCCCCCGCGCCCCGGCACCCTTGCTCTTCGGGATTGTGCGTCTCCCCCCTTCGGCAGCCCGATGCCGTTCCGTGTTGTGTGTAAGGCCAGCTGTCCCTGCACCTGCCTGTGGGTCCACTGTCTCCCCACCACCCTGGTGTTTCTGCTACTGCGGCCTCCGCCCCCGGTGCACGGGAGCTTGAAAGTAGAGGTGCTCTCTTCTAGAAAAGTGACTTTCCAACTGTTCTGACCAATTTCCCTTTTGCTTAAGACCAGCTGACCTTAATTTTACCCCCAGGTACCTTTAGCTTTGCCGTAGAGCACGGCAGAATCACAGGAGTGGCCTCCCACCACCTGTACTCCATCCTGCCAGTTAGAAGCAGGCCGTTGGTCTTGCCCGCACACTCATGGGAGCAGATTGCAGAGAGGTGTCACGCTAGGAGTGGCCATCACGGCCCCTGGTGTGTGAGCAGTGCCTGCTTCCCCAGGGGCCCCAACCCTCATCTGTGCAGAGCACAGTTGTCGTTCCAGGTACCTGGCCACCAGCTCGGGGGTGCCGGCACCAGCCTTGGTCAGCTGCAGGTGTGCATCTGGCGTCTGGGTGTAATCTGGCCTTGGGGTCAGGGCCTGCGGCGCATTCCTCTCCGTCTGCTGACCCGTGGAGGCTGTGAAGCACCGGCCCGTCACGCAGGGCTGGGACAGGTGTGGGGTAACAGCTGGTGACATGCATTCACACGGGGGGAATGGGAGGTCAAAGGAGCCGTGACCATTCCTAAAGGCAGACGCTGCTGGAGGCCTTGGAGTGGGCTTCGGCCTGGTGCCCCGGATCCGTCTCTGCCCTGCAGGCTCTTGGCCCTGCCCTCCGGCCCTCTGTCCTTCTTAGAGCGGCCGGGCACCACCCCCTGCAGGCACGTGGGGGCTGCGAAGCCCTCTGCGTCTGGTCCAGGCTGGCAGGGTCTCGTGAAGCGGGGTCCGCAGTTCATAGATGAAGCCGGACTCACAGGTCTTCTCGAAATGGTCTCTTGTCTGCCCTGGTTCCTGCTGGGGGGGCAGAAGGCCCTCACCGTCTGCGCCCACCCCCTGACTGACCCTCTAGCCTCCCGGACGGACCCTTCCTGTTACTGCACTCTGGCCTGTTGATCCTCCTGAGGTGTGAGCAAACGTTGAGTGGCCCACCCGAGCCCTTGCCCCTGGAGTGCTTTCCCGACAGCGGAGTCTCTGAGTTTTAGCAGCTGTTGCCTGCTGGGGACACTGGGCACCTCAGAGCCACTGAGTGCGGGTTCCTCTGTGCTTACTGTGGCCTCCCTCGGTTCCTTCTCTCACCTTCTACCATCAGTAGCCAGACCCAGGCCAGGCCGCCCTGCTTTCTGCCCAGGGCTGTCTGCACACAGCCCGCTGCCTCGCTTTCCTAGCCCTCTGCCACCTCCTAACAAGGACCCTCCCTCCTATTTCCAGAACATTCCCCTCTGTCTGAGCCTTCTCAGGCATCATCCTCTGTGTGCCCCTGTCTTCTGACAGGCTGCTCAGGGTTCCCACAGCCAGCACCCACTGCCTGGGACCAAAGCCCACCTTGGCGCCGGGCTCACTGCGTGGGAAGGTGCCACGAACACGGCACATCGTCCTCCCCCACAGTCCCCGTGGTCGCGAGGCCCTACGGCCTAGCAGGATCCTGGCAGCGCTGGGTCCCGGGCGTAGGTGGGAGCTTGCTGGCCGTCAGCTGGGCGCTGTGCTCGGCTCCTGGGGGCTGTGAGCGGCGTGGGTCGAAGCCACCGGGTTAGTGGTGGTCTCGCCATGGTTGTCCACAGGCTTGGGCGGAGCGCTTTGTCAGGCCACCCTGCTTCACGGTTTCCCGTCAGGGTCACCGGTCTTTGATGGCGGCCAGCCCTTCTGTGACGGGCTTGTCTCGTGTGTCATCTTCTCCGAGAACAAAGACAGTTGTGTCATGGCGTTCATGGCGAAGTCCTAGGAGCTCAGCTTTTCCCTGTCACAGGCAGGACACTGGCACTGTGTCTCTGGCATGCCGGGAGTGCGCTCTGCCTTCCCGCATCCGGAGGGAGCTGCCCAGCTGCCTCAGCGCGCGGCTCCCGCTCCCCGCACCCTCACGCCCCCCTCTCGGACCCCCGCGCCCCCCTC